TTTATTTAGCTTATACTTAAGGATCAAAAACTTAAGTAAATATAATATCAGTTATTATGAAAAAGAAAAAGCTTAAGAACATTTTTAGCTTGCTCAAAAATCACTAAACTGCACTTCATTTAATAGTCTATAGTCTTTCATAAAGAAAAGATTGAAGTTGTTAATTTCAAAAGTTTTGATTTTTGAATTTTAAAATCTCTTTCTCCTTCATGATATTTATCTTTTTTTATATGAATTTGTTGACATGTAAAATTGAACTGTTAAAGTTCTTTGGCAAGAGTTTTTGGGTGAATCTTAAGAACTTGTTACTGAGCGCCAATTGCAGTGTCATATTAACAAGTTTAATTTCTCCTCGTCTAAGTTGTTCAAAACTGTTCAAAGGCATGAGATTGACAATTACTCTTAGGTCACAAAGGTCTTGTCCCTGAAATTCAGGTCCTATGGTATAGGGAATGGTTAAATTATCATGGTTCTTGTTAGGATTTTGCCGATCTTGTCATGCTGGAGGTGGGAGCCTTTCAGTAGTGTTAATCAGGATGATGGACACATCAGCCAACATAGGTTTCACAGTTGTACTAGCCTTTGGTTATTTGGGCTTTATTTCTACTCCAGTCTTAATTCCTACCACCTTGCACTGCTCCAAGTCTGATCTTTTGAATTTACCTCAGCATTGCTAGGTAGTGCTCCTTGAGGTCTATTATTCATTGAACTCACTAGCTGTCTTAGTTGTTTGATGTTCATAATGGCCATAGCTTGACTCTATAATTGGTTCCCCATTTGAATAACTAACTCCTCAAGAGATGATTTCTCTTGGGTAGGTTGGGAGTTAGCTTAGAATCATGGTGGGTATTGTTGTTTTTTAGGTTGACCCCCCTAGTTTAGCCAACTATCTCTAGCATTATTCATTGTATTTCCCCACTACTGGTTGTTGTTGCTCCAAGAGAAATTTGGGTGATTCCTCCAGCCTCGGTAGTAGGTATTTGAGTAGGGGTTATGTTTGTGATTTTATACGGCATTAAAACTCAGGAAATTAATATGTATGCACCATAACCGTTGACACGAATCTCAAAGCAATCAAGTGGCCTAAGACGATTGTCGAACAATCGAGGCATCAGACTATTTAAGTCAACCATTCAACAACCAATAGCTCAGTCGAAGTGACCAACACATTATGGTGAGATTCTATCGCAGGGCACGCCTATAGTCTCGAGCCACCTGAATTCATCGCAAGGGCACCTGACCGCAACATATCATCCGACCAGTCTTTTACTTCAACAAGCACAACCGCCACTCGACCAGTCATATTGGTCGACCAAACTCAAGCGTGTCGATCAGCTGGTTACCCCCGCATTTGAATTCAAATTGTAATATAGATTTCGCAACAAATCCTCACGATTAAATCGTAATATAGATTTCGCAACAAATCCTCACGATTAAATTGCATTAAGAAAGATTTTCATACCGTTCCCTCATTTCTATAAGTGTACCAACACGTCTCAATAAATAGGAGGCAAAATGACAAATAAAGCGACCTCTCTCCGTTTCTCTGCAGGGACTTCCCCAATTACTTTACTTTCTCTCTCATCCTTCTTTTGTCAGCGCTAACTCTCTAGGCATGTTTCCACAAAAAACAATTCACGATTCAACGCATTAATATTTCGAACCATTAAATTAAAGCACTAAAATTGAAGTTAGTTATATTATTTAAGATAATATACATTTAACTATTCTGATACCGAGATTATTGACCGTGAACACAATACAAATTGCAATTGAATAATTAATAAAAATTAATATGGATTTATTGTACCAATGAAATTATCCAATGAAATTATCCAATTTTTCTTTGGATTTATGCAGTTGTACAATTTCATTTGAACATAAATAGAATAAAAAATTAAAAAATATCTAACTCCATTAAATCGAAAATTAATAAATAAAATAAATTAATCAGCTCTAAACAATAATAATATTATTAAAATATATGGGGCGTTTGTTGAGCATTAAAAACTAATTTGATAATGATAATAATAATAATGATATGGGCCGTTTGATCTGACACTAAAAGTGCCATTGAATTGGTAATAATAATATATATATGGGCTGTTTGATGGACCATTAACAACTCATTTGAAGCAGCTCCTTAACGTTTTGCGACGGATATTAAGTCCAGATGTCAAATTACAACTTAATCAGACAATCAGACGTAGTAATAGGTTGATTAGAGTTAATTTTGCGCATCTAATAAAATATTCTGAACAAAAAAATGGTCATTAGAAGATGTTAAGGACAATATTTTAGAGGCACTTTTATTTTATGGGAGTAACTTGGGGCTGAAATAATTCCTGAATATTTAATTAGGGACTTTTAAAGTAGTCATTACGGCAGGGCTGAAATGGTATTAATGGAGGATTATTAAAACTTAATTTTAAAATATTCAGAAATTATTTTAATATTTTTATAAACTTAGACTAATGATGGAGTCTATTATGATATTTTATTCAAAATCATGAGAATATAAAGAAAAACTTCAAAAGATCTATTTATTAATGAGTAAATAAATAGAAAATAAAATTGATTGAAGAATTGAAATAGAGCTTTATTTAATTAAGAAAAAAAATTAGTGAAAAATATGTTTATTTTTTTTATTCAAAAAAAAATTTTTTTTTTTTACTAGCAAAAATATAAATGGGGAGTTTAAATACAATCCACGCAATTGTTATGCACTAAATGCACATATTTCTTAATTCATGGAACATAATGCTTGTCGCTTAACTTTTGGGTATTTCTTTTGTCAAATTCCTGCGTTTATTTATTTATTTATTATTTATTTTTATTATTTTTATTTTGAGCAATTAGTCATTTACCAATCGGAGAAGATTAAATTTATTTACAAAATATAAATAATGGTCTCTTGTTAGAAGAATTTGCATGCATGGCACACAATTCTAATGTATTTGAATGTCTAACGCCCAAAATCTTATGTCATGTGTCTCTTGGACAGCTGATTTTTATTTTAATTTAAAGCAAATGGTGGGAAAATAAAAAAAAAGGAATCAATAGTTAAGCATCTTAATTTGATATTAGTTTAGGTCAGCTTAGCAAGTAACCATGGTTAAGTCAACTTGATTAGCAAATTGTTAACTACAATCATAAGTTATGTCATCCAAACAAAATGCTGTAAAAGATGCCCATTGAATTCCCCAACAAAGTGGTTGAAGTTGGCATGAAAATTGTTTCATACGGACATGCATGCCACCATCGATCACCAGTAAAAATGTATTTCGGTGGGCCTCACTTTTATTTTATTTTTTTTAAATGATCGTGATGATCGACGGTAGAGATCAGACACCGCATGTATATCTGCATTCGGTGTCCGTATGAACTACAAATGACAGACTACTTTTTTTAATTGTGAACTACAAAAGACAGAAAATTTAAATGTGAAATAAATTTTATGAATTTCATTTACTATTACTTAATTCATTTCTGTTCAATTATACTTTTTTTAATTAATTTAATATTAATTAAATATTAATTATTGTAAAATATAATTTAAATTTTATTTATAATTATAATTAAAATATAATAATATTTAAATTATTTAAAATATTATATATTATATATTAAATTATTATTCATTTTAATATTAATAAATGTCAAACCCATTTTAAATTTTTCTATAAGTATAGTTAATATATATTAAAATTTAAATTATTTATAATATTATATATTATATATTAAAAAATTAAATTTATAATATTTTAATGAAACACTAAAGAAGGGGTTTCTTTAAAATACCTAATATTATATGAAATGCCCCCCATTGGGGAAAAAATTTGCGTACGGAAGACGTACGTAGCACTGCATACGTCAGAGTTATACATATGATATATGACAGTTTTATCCGTGTTATATTCTTTATAACCTCCATGTAACTTATATATAGCATACAAGTACCTTTTATTAATTTTCATGATTCTATTTTCATATATTTGTATTCTAAAAGGTAGGTTATAGAGAGATTACAGAGAATATAACTCTAATATAACTCTTATTTACCATCTATATAACCCTGACATACGCAACACAACATACCTGTTACGTACACAAATTTTTCCCCCCATTGGGAGGGTATTTGCCTTTATTTTTATTATTTTTCTCAAAATCAATACATTTGTACTCTTTTTTTATTATTATTTCAATTGTACTCAGAGATAACATTTATAGTTAACAAAAGTACAACTTAATCAAACTTTTTTGGACATTATTTCCCTTTATTTCAGCATATAATTAAATGTATGTAAAAGATTATATGTAATATGCCAATAAATCATTCATTTAAATATGATTAAATCAAAAAGATTATAAGATTAAAAGACAAAAAGTTTCTTTTTTAAAATCAACATAATTACTTAGTAACAATGTATTTTTAATGAAATAATTATTTAATCATTTTTTTTAAATTATGTTATCTTATAAAATCAACTAGTGTCGTGAAAATGTATAAAAAAATATTAAACTAATTAGAATAATATTATTTTTAAGTTAATTAACTATATAAAAAGTATTATCTAGACTAATAAATTACTAATTAAGGCGTAATATAATTAAAAAATAATGCAATATAAAAGGACTACATCAATCTTAACAATTACATTACCAATAATCAATATAAAAATCTTAATTAAATTAATAAACTTAAATAATAAAATAAACTGCCAAACAATTCATCATAATTTAACCATACATAGCATGCATCAAACCAGAAAAAAAAAAAAAAAAGGATTCAACTGCCATAAAATATCAAATTCGGATTCAAGGAATTTATTAAATCCTATTTGAGTTTAATCCCACCCGCAGCGAATCAGTCCTAAAAGGCTGCTGAGATGCATTATTGAAAATTATTTCACCCTTGCATCAAGCATTTTACAGCACCACAAGAAGACAATCTCAAAGCATTTTCATTTTTTCACTATAAGAAAAAACAGAATATGGCTGCAAGCAAGTATACAGATAAACATATTCTATAATTTATATTTGACTTTCAAAAATAACTTATCTGAATTGATAAGATTGATACAAACTGAAAAATTGACTCTTTGCAAAACAAACAGAGCCGAACAATACTCGAACTCACTCGAGCTCAACTCATTTACATATGACTTTATAATTCCCTATACATGTAGAATATAATTGCAAATATATAAAAAAAATGTGCTTGATGATAATTTGGGTGCACCATTCCTTGGAGGAGCTAAAATGGTTGTGCAATTATAAGTAAGAAGAAAATATCATTCTTACTACAAATGGCAGATGCATTAGTCAAGCATTATTACTCCAGCTTCTAGTTAGAGCATTGATACCTGGTAGCTTCCAAACAGAACGGACTGGAGTTGATGTTCCGCCTCCACGGTTGTTTCCAGAAGCAGAATTAGCTGCCTTCGAAGCATTACCTGGACTAGTTCTCGAGTTCCCTAAATGTATCGGATTAGATACTTGCTGCAGCTCCTGAAACATAGCACAAAGAAAACATATATATATTAAAAAAAAAAACTTAGCGCCGAAAATACAAACAAGCATGAATAGGTTCAGTTTCGTAGAATCAGTCGGAAGAAAAAGTTTACACCATGTTCTAACCTTGAGGCCTCCAGCTGATAAAGTTATGGAGGGGCGAAGAACCTGGAAAACGAGGAGTTAATTAGCAGACTTAAAGCCTACAAATCAGAAGAGATTCTATTCATAAGTAAAATTTCAACCTTAGGAGTCTCGGTGGAGCAAGAGGTTGACGGTGATTCGAGAGCTAAAGGTGGCAGAGAGCCCGTCTGCATGAGTAAAGATTGATGCAAAATAACCATTTAGATGGAGGTTAATGGTAAGAGAGAAATACATGTATGCGCGTATCAGTGCATGCAGGGTAAGCGATGTTAAAGTAAAGACATTTCTAGGCTTACTCTTGAGACACCCAAAGTTTGGGATTGTTTTATGGCTCGCACTGAACTGAATGATGAGTCCTGAAAGGCCACAGTCTGAATTAATTTTGCCAGCCCAGTAAAAGCTTTAACAGAGGAAATTTATGAAAGTTATTTCGTTTTCCGCAGGAGCAATTGAGACAAAAAAGCCAGCTTGGAGAGATGGTTAAGATTCCAATATGATTTAGCCTAAATAAAAGCAAGCTTACACTAGAATATGTAAATTATGTGAGCTCAGGTTGAATCTCTGTATAAATACAAAAATTAAGTGCCTCCCCCAGTTAAAACTTAATTTTGATTCAAAACCTTGCCCACCTTTGTCCAACATGTCTAGAAGGCTGATGGTGCCACAATAAGACAATATTGATTAAGAATCTAAGCTCCTTCAGCCCACTATTCCAGTTCATCCCTTCTAGTAAGATAACAGCATGGACATCCGCATGCTGGCATGACATTCAACTCCCATTACTCTTTCATTTGAAAAAAAAAGTTAAATTTTTGTGACCTTGTAATAAACATGTGAAGTTCAAGATAATCCTAAATCAGTTGTTCAACTTTGACCTAAACCCACCTTGTTCACATCTCTCAACACCACTATAGTCCAATTCCATTTAGTTCCTTCAGCTTTATACCAAGTTTTGCTTGAATTCAGTTATAAAAATATTAAAATTAGTCCAAAGCATTTTTCCGAGTCATTTTTTTTTCTATTTTACAATTATTTATATGACGAATTAAATTTCACAACTCGGCGTGGCTTAATATGTAAATGAAAACACAATCTTAAAGGATGAAGGATAAGCAACCAAAAGTCATATAACCATAACAGTTAAAGAAGTAAAAGGAAACATATTTGGCACAAGAACAAGAGAATGCGGCGCACAAAGTTAAACAAAATCTTCAAAAGTTCACACATGGTGCTGGCTAGAAATACACTAAAGCGCTAAGCAGCATAATTTAATTCCCCTAAAAGTTGAGCTCTTCTGTTTATAGAACAGTAGACGAGTGAAATGATAAACAACACAAAACTAAGCATGACAGATAAATAGGCGACAAATCCGATCAGAATGACCGTTTGTCAAGTTGCTGTGAAATAGATGGTGTGACGCCTGACTGCATCCAGCCTATACACAGTAATCAGAGAGAGTACTTTTTAGTAATATTACTTGTTATTTTACATAGAAAAATAATTTAGAGAAAGTTTGATCATTATCTTTTGAGAAGCCCTTACTTTCGAGGCTAACTGATACTTCAATGAGTATTGTAATTGATGATGAACCCAAGATCATGCGACCGCACCAAAACATAGTATACAATTAGACTTGTTAAATTTTGATTGTTTTATTTCATTTAAATGCAATAATTTCCGCTAAGTTTAAAAGGCTCCAGATACAATGTGGAGGACATGGCGAAAACTTATAGAGAAACGGCCAGACAGCAAGACGGAAGCCAACAAGAATAGAGAGGAATTTCTGTTTTCCGCTCTACCGTTGTCACAAATATCTGGGAGATTGCTGCTGGTGCAGCAGGAAATCCATTCTCTGGCAATATTGATCTAAAAATCTGAGCTCTCTCTTTCCTCTAGTTTCATATCTAGCTCATCCCATTCGTACAAACAATTTCTTGGCCGTCCTCATATCAGCTCTTTAGCCTTATGGTCCTCTTTCAAGATTTCACGAATTAATTTTTCCTTTTTTTTTCCCTATCAAACAAGTTCAGATCAATCCTAAATTGATTGTTTCAACTTCTATCAAAGCCACCATGTAACCCCAAGGAAATTCCACCTAGGTCCTTCAGCTTTGTACCAAGTATCACTTAATTTCAAATTCAAATATATTTAAATGGGGCACATGTAATTCTTTTTCGTTACCTCTACTTTAAAAAACATTTCTAGGGAGCACCACCTGGGGCACGCCCCAGGGTGAGGCATGAGCTAATTTGCCCCAAGCCCACGAAAGAGTTGCAATACTCGTGAGGCCTATGCACTAGAACATCTTGTACAGCCTGAGAGCTCAATTTGTGTCCCCACGAGGTCGTATGCCCCACAATTGGGTTAAATAAACACACACACACAAAAAAATCCATAATTTCCCAGACATACCAGAATCAAGCCGCATCTCTCCCGCAACAGAAGGTGATCCTTCAGCTGCTTTCTCTCTCCCGCAAAGGGTTGCTTCATCTCTCCCGTAGCCATATTTGAATGGTAAGCAAATTACATACGAGCTTTAACATTTTATAAGAAATTAATCGATTTTTTACAGCAGCTACAGTGAGTTTCAGAGTAAATCACAACTTTGATTGTTTTTGATATTTTCTTCTTTTTTTGCTTAATGTGTCAGGTTATTTATTAAGTTGTAATGGAGGAAAGGATTGTGTGATCGGTAGTAGTCACCACTATCAAGGACTTTGTATCACAATATACAACAATCACACACAATGATAAGTATTTAAGATGTAAATTTTGCAACTAAGTGTGTAGTGAAATAATAAATAGAATGAAACACATCTTGCCAGCACACACAAGGGCATTAAACCATGCACTAAAGCCCCATTGAAGGTCAAGAGAAATGCAAGTAAGAATTAGAAGAAGATACAAAAGTCAATCCATAACGTGACAATGTATTAAGTGACATTAGAAGTAGTGCAATAAATGTTTGTGAAGGTCAAAAAGTCATTAATTCACCATCAATGGACTCCTCTAAGAGGACACCTAGAGTTAAAGGTTGACTTAGAAAAAAGTCCATACATGGGTTATATTTATGAGCTAATAGATTCAGCAAAAAAAAAATATTTTTAATTGTGGGCATAATGAAAATAATTATATAACTATTAGGGGAAAAATTCATGCAAGACGGGAAATCAACCTTCATAAACCACTACATGCAGTTGGTTATTATTTGAACACTCAATTTTGCTTTGAAGAAATTTTGTCAAATGATGAAAAGGTGAAACAAGGATTAATTGCTTGTATGGAAAGAATGTTGAATTATGAGGATCACATTAGAGCAGATATTCAAATAGACATGTATGATAACTTAAGAGGAGACTTTGAGAGTAGAGTTGTTATGGACTCAAGAAAGTAAAGAACTCTTGCCAATTGGTGAATGAAATTCGGTGGGAAAACAACTGAGTTAACGAATTTTGCTATTCAAGTTCTTAGCCTCACCTGCATTTCATCAGGTTGTGAATGAAATTGGAGCACTTTAAAATTGGTAATAAATTTTTAATTCTTAAAATTATTATTAATTATTATTTAAAATTATTATTATTTGTTTTCATAATCACCTCTTAAAAATAATATTTTTTATCTTACAGTCATACTAAGAAGAGGAACAGGTTGGACCACAAGTAGTTAAATATTCAAGTGTATGTAAGATATAAAACTAGAATGAGAGAGAAGAATAAGAAGAAAACAAGACTTTAATCCAACATTGATAAATGACAGAGACTCTTATAATGAGTGGATTGTTGAGTAAAAAGATCCAGCACTTCTATAGGAACCTGATTAGGTGAATGAAGAAGAACAAGTATTTGAATGTTGATGTAATAAAAAATGTGCTCAAAGCAAATGCAAATGAAGAATAACAAAATATTAAACATGGAGAAAAATATATTTTTTTATAAAATATTCCCATAGAAAAAGGAAGTTGAATGAAAGAACAAGTTTTTTACTTTCATTTATTTGCCATTTACATAATTATGCATTCTTATAAAAAAAGATCCTAAATATTTAAGAAAGTCATTTTGTTTGTTTTTATAACCTATGCAATAATGATAATGAGAAACAAATTGTGAATGCGCCTAAAATTGAGCATGATAATGACTTTAATGAAGTTAACAATGAATGCAGACAGGATGAAAAGCCTAGTTGTGATTTGGACACAACTATTAGTTAAGAAGGCAAGGATTTGAGGATGAATCTGAAGAATAAAAAACATTAAATGATTGAGATCAATTGAGCACAAGTTTATTTTTTAGCTCAAACATGTTTACTTATTTTTATATGTTTCTACTTTTTGCAATGGATTTATGCTAATATCTTGAAGATTCTAATCCTAGAAGACTTGTTTTGAAATTGTATAATTATGTTCTTTTAATGTTTCTTAATAATTTTTTTTATTAAGCACGACTAGTTTATTTTTGTCTCTTAATATTTATATTCCATATATTTTGTCATAATTTTAAATTATGGGAGAGGTTAATTAAATATAAGTTAAGACTTGATACAAATATTTCGCATAATCAGTTTGGATTTATATCGGACAAGTCTACTATGAAAGTTATACATTTATTGAGAGGTTTGATGGAGAAATACAGAGAGATTAAGGAGGATCTACTTATGAATTTTATTGATTTAGAAAATTTTTACGATAAGGTCCCAAGAAAACTTCTTTGAAGAATTTTAGGGAAAAGAAAAATGTTGATATAACTTATATTGAAGTCATTCAAGATAAGTATCCTAGAAACTGATTTTTATTTGTGTTCGAACAGGAGGATTAACCAAATATTTTCTCATTTCAGTTGTATTACACCGGGGATCTGCTTTAAGCCCAGGGATCGGCTTTAAGCCCATATCATTAAGCCCATATCATTTTGCTTTAGCTATGGATGCTCTTACTGGACATTTACATAAGTACCTGGGAGTATTCTTTTCGCTGATGATATACTTGTGGATAAGACTAGAAAAAAAAGTTCAAGAAAAACTTGAATTATGGAGGTCTACATTGGAGTATAAAGACCTTCGTTTGAGTAGATTTAAAACTGAATACATGAATTATATATTTAGTAGTAGCTCTAGTGACAGTTGTAATAATGGGTGATCAAATCATTAAGAAAAGTGAACATTTTAGATATATTGGGTCAATTGTTCAAAGAGAAGGTGATATATATGGGGATGTTATTAATAGAATTCAAGTTGGTTGGTTAAAGTAGAGGAATGTATCGGACCTATTGTGTGATAGAAAAGTATCGCTTAGACTTAAAGGAAAATTTTATAAGATGATGGTGAGACCTGCAATGCTTTATGATGCAGAATGTTGTCCTTT